ATCATTTTCCTGATGTTCTTAAAGCTCATTTGAGGTCGGCTGCTTGCATCTCTTTATTAATCCTGTGCCTTGGCTTTCCCCACTCTCGTCCGGCTGTTTTAACCGCTGTTTTTAACGGTGAGGCTATTATATATGAACCACGTTCCAGTGCTACCAAAGTGACTGTGATAGTGCCAGTCTGCTTATTAGGTTTAAATATGGGTTATAAACTGGTGTGGAGGTTTATGATTAGGATTTACAATTGTACGTTTGGTTTAGGAATTATAGTTGGGGTTTTCATCGCTCTCTGGCATCACATATAATGCCGAAATTTCTGTCATAAACGCCTATGATTCTTCCATAAATTGCATTCTCTCCCCTTCAACTACCAGAGCAAAATTTAATTGGTTCAAATGATTTTCTGTGGTAAGTTTTGTTTCAGTAAGGTTCTTTCTGAGAAATGGGGGCGAAATTCCACTCAAGGCTGTCGTCATCCATCCCGGCTGACGATAGGCAGGGCTGCAATCGGCTTTGTTTTCGCATTCATTCTTGCTAAATATTAAATTATTAACTTGAGTTTTAGGTTAGATCGGTACCCAAATAACCCCTCGGAATTATATGACGTTCGTACCACTGTAATTTATGTTCTGAAGGCAGTTTTATGAGCCGTTTTTCGTGTAATTTCTCTTAGTTTTTCTATTTTCTTTTAATACGAGAGAAAGTCTGTTTGACTTTCTGTATAAACATGCTGTATGGTTTTGGCTGAACTTGACTTTTAAGTATTATAAATTTTTGTATGCCATCTATTATTTTCTACCGTTCTTCATTGTTATTTCATAGGCTTTTGAGAAAACATTCTGCTTTTTTATGGAGAGTGCTGAAGGAATTTAGTAAGGTATATGATGAATCTTATATTTTCATCATGAATATAGATAGATGTTTGAAATCTTGCAAACTGCTAGCAGGTACTGTTATATCCTAGAGAAGATTAAATTATGAGTAACGTTCGAGAACTATTAATGAAATACTATTTTATATATTTTTTATTGTATAACTATTCATTATCTAGACTGTGTATATCCATATTCCTCTTATTATAAGCATTATTTTGACCTACAGATTACTATTGTACGATTTACTGTTCTTAAGTTATGTTTAGTTTATTGATTACAGTCTCCCACGTTCACAACCACATTTAGCTTCATTTTGTACCAATAATATTTCCTATTTTATGGTGCAGCGCGGTCTGTTTAGCTTGTATATAAAGCAAGTATTTATGAACTAAGGGATTCACATAGCGAGAGCTGTTATTGCTGTTATGGACTCAGCTGGACTGGCTAAGAGATCAAAGGACCAATAAGGACTCTAGGCTGATCAGACCGGTCGAACGTCATCACTTAGTTCAGTAAAAGAGTGGATAAGTCGTATTTCGATTGACGAATAAATTGCGTGATAAAAATCACCATTTAAAGTCACAACAGTTATTATATTAAATTGTCCACTCTACTGACATCTTTATTCCTATATATCTTATGGCTGAGTGAAACAAAAACGTTAGAATCCGTGCATGCCAATGAAAGTGCCAATGTTCTACACTACCTTACATATGCCACACACTACGCACTGAACAGGTCGAAAGAGATGGCCTGATCAAAAACTTATGCTATTAAAAGTTCTAATATTCACAACTATATACATCTTTATTTCCTTGGAATTATAACACCCAGTTTTTCATTTCTTTATTTCACGTATTGAGTGTGCAGTTGTCTGTTGTTAACTTTTCTTGATACAGAAAGAGTAGGAGAAACTTTTCAAGATATTTTGTGCAGAGCAACCCATATTTTACTAAACGTATACTTAGTAAAGCTATTATGTTTATTATTATTATGGTGACAAAAGTTCTGGGAAGAAATTAGAATACAGGGCAGAGAAAATAACAATTTTTCAATAAAGTACTGAAGCCATTTTCAGAGTATTCCTTCTATTGCAAATGTATATCTGATCGTATTATAAATCACGTCGTCAGAACATTCATTCACTTTGCGTCTAGTTTAATATCATGCTAAGGAGCTTCAGTAACACTGGAATATTACCAAACCATCACTGCAGACCTTTATTGAGGCTGAACATAGACTTACTTAGAAAAATCACTCTGTGTTCAACGTTGTGGTAAAATTATGAAGGTCGACATAGGTCAGCACTTGAACATTACAATCGAGGCTGCATGACTCAACTATACAGAAATAGTCATTCTCTACATAAGATTCTTTTGTACAAAGTATATTATTTTGCTGGCAGCCTGAAACTATTCTCTAATGGTTCTTACAAACGTTACCAATAAATTCCACAATAGCGCGAGTCAGTATAGGGAATTATTATTTTGACAGGATAATATACAATATAATTTTTGTTAGGCAGTCATTTAATGGAAAGGATACCACTTCAGTAGTATCGAAAGGTACACTGATACCGATATCGACTTAAACTCCATGGGCCTCTATTTTCAGCGACGTGTGTAACCTACCACAACAGCATAGGTATGTTATTACGTCAGTGCAATGTGATGACGTCGATGAACTATAGCCTTGTTATGGCAAGTGATCTTAACTGTGCCAAAATAACCTAGGCAACTGTTTCAATTACTGGATACATGAAGATAAATGCACAATAACAAAGACCAAAATGAATTAATCAGAAAATGTTTAAGTCGGTTCAGATAATTGGTCAATTCCAATGGCATGGAAAAACCAATAATGCGAACTCATGTGCCAGTTAGGTTAAAGTGGAATATAGAAATATGGAATATACAAATGAATAAATAAATTCGAACTTTGGGACGATATTTACGGGATTACAGTTAAGAATATTTTAAAGATAACCCTTTTCTAAGCGACTACTGTAGTTAGCTCAGTGAAATGGGAAAAATGAAGTAGTGTTGGACTAATTCCAAACTTAAGATTCTCCGAATGGAAATAATACAGTATCTTACCGTAGTATGTTACATCTAAAGACTTCATGTCGATATCTTATTAGGATGGTATAACATACTGTTGATGGTTTTCAGATGTTATTAATTTTCATAGAATTGGTAGATGATTTGCCAAAATAATGAAACGCCCGGATTACTTTTTTAGTTACATTGTGAAACAGATTTTAAGCCAGTCGTTAGTTATAAAAAATCCTAGGAAAACTGAATCGAAAGCGAAATACTATTGAATTAACAATTGAGTTAGTATTCCGCAGTAACCTGATTCAGAATGGGTTCGTAAAGATTGAAATATGATGCATTATATTACGCAAATGAATAATTTAAAACACAGCTAATACCGTAGAAAATATAATTGCCTAAACTCACTTCAAGTTTCTCACTTTCACACCTTCTCTTTGACCATGGAACCTATGTACTGGAAATTAGATAGGGATTGACCCAAAAGATAGATATCAGTGGACTGTGTAAGGTAAACGTTTGGCAAAAAGCAATAAAAAAGTGTTTTTATACTAATAAGATTGCTAATCCCGTCTTTTCATTACTTCATTATGCCCTGAAGTTATGAATAACTTTTAATCGTCTGGGGATACTGTTCACAACACGACTGTAGAAAACAATTGGCTTGGTTGACCCCCGTGAAAAGAACAAACGTCCCATCATTCAATTTGAGAGAACAAGAAATACAGCGCCTTCATATAGCAAGGAAGTAGGAAGCTCTGAAATCGAGTATTTATGTTCTTATATTTATCTTATGTTATCAAATGACTCAGCCGCCTACATTCAGTTACCGACAAACAACACCAAAACTTTGGGTGACAGGCTTTGCAAACAATAGTGGGGGATATACAAAGTGGATAATATTTGAAAGATAGAAATATAAACAAAATTTGCATATATACCACTATTTTCTAAACATCCCTACAAGCTTCCTTTAGTATAGCATATGCAGAGAAACGAGAATCTTTTAGACGACACAGTAGACTATGGACAACTTTAGCAAACAAGTTTACCCTCGAAACTTCTGTAGAACATATGCTGAAGCCACATTTTACAAAGAGTGCATGAGAGTTTGCGAAGAGTTGCAGCACTGCTCGATTAAAATTATAACTGCATTAGCACATTTGCAGTATGTCTGGAAGGTGGCAGGAAGTTATTTGGATGGAATAGGTTTTAAGGGCCAAAACATTTCCTCGACAAAATTAGAATACTACTTATGCATATACTCTGTTTGCACCTTTTATGAGAATTTCCCGTCATTATATGTATTTGTATGTACTACTATTCATGTAAGCTTCAGGACTGTGAATAATTGGGTGTGCTTCTGTGCAGTGGTAATGTACCAGGAGTTTTAGACCATTGGAGACTGTTTTACTTGTAATTCGTTCTCATGAGTAAAAATTACCAGAGAGTATTAAAACCAAGCTCTTGAAATGGTTTGACTCTGCTTGTTCAAGACTTATCTTCAGGCTTGACCAAGCTATAGCTACTGTGGTCGATAAGACGAGTATATTTTGTTCCCAAATAAAATAAAAAATTACGGTACCATGATTACTATATGATAAAAGCCCAAGAATAGAGCGATAATAAACAGTTAAAATACAGTATAACACAAGTTCCTATTCCTTAGAATATCTGAAAAGCTTCAGATCTATGATTTTGGAAGACATAGTTTCAAAAGTATCGTCCTTTCTGATGTTTTTTATTCAGTCAAGTTAGCTCGAGGAATAAAGCTCTCTAAATTAAAATATGGTCATAGAAGAGCTATGGTCCTGGCACTCAACTGTCCTACTAGATTTCAGCAACAGGACTTCTGAAAATGACCACACTCAGATGCCTGATGTTGTTAGATGGTCTTAACGAACACAACAGATCCAACAACTAACTCGTTTTTCTGGTGTTACTGACATTGCACGTGTGTGAGAAATCTACTTGGGATTTTAAATTTATATACCTTCCGGTGATTGTAACTTTTATTGTTTTAATCGCTTCAGTTCTCCTAATTGACCAATAAGGAACGGGCACGATTAAAAACACTTTAGCGCCAGATTACGGTTGGACGTGAAGTTATGTTGATCTTAAGATTCATTCTTTTGTATTTGCCTTTCTGTTTATTGATATGTAAGGCTGATGATGCTGCTACAGCACCTGAAGTCGAAAACAAGAAAGTATGTACGCTTTAATTCTAAATTCCTTAGCCGTCATTCAAGAATCCAAATATCCCCAAAAATGCTTACCTTGCACTGTTCTTTAACTCACCATCAGATATTACTGAGAAGTAACTAACTTGTTTTCTAACCTTCTCTCCAGACTTGTAGTCTCTCAGGCACGCAAAGATGGTATAGATGACTCAATTGCGAAGTATGATGGTGTTTGGTCTGTTGAAGTGCCATATACCAGTGCGATAGAAAATGATTATGCACTGGTCCTCAAATCCAAGGCAAAACATCATGCTGTTTCGACAAAACTGTTCAGGCCAATAAAGTTTGACACCAATGAGCTTGTTATCCAGTATGATGTCAAGTTCCAAGATGGGATCGATTGTGGTGGCGCCTACATAAAGTTGTTGAGTGCTTCACCAAATTTGGACCTGGTAAGTTCCTAAAGTTTTGTTAACTTAGTTAAGAAACAATTTAACGACAAAACTCCGTATACAATTATGTTCGGTCCCGACAAATGTGGACTAGAGAACAAAGTACTTAAGAAATATGCAATAATTTTATTTCTAGTTCCACTTTATTTTCCGGCACAAAAATCCCAAGACTGGTGTGTATGAGGAAAAGCACGCTAAAAAGGTTGTTCCAGAACTGGAGTCATACTTTTCAGACAAGAAGACACACCTTTACACATTAGGTTAGTTGAATACCCTATCATATACTTGATGTAGTTTTACGTTCGGATAACTCATTTGAGCGGTACATCGACCAGATTAAGGTTCAAAGTGGCAGCCTACTTGAAGATTTTGAGTAAGTCTATAATTCATGGTTTTTTGGCTTTTCCATATCTTAGTTTATGATGTCCTAATTTTGTCTCCTTATAACCTCCCACATTTCTCAGAGTATACACTTATCTTAGATCCGGAAATATGTATGCTAAGTCAGGGATTGGGACGAATAGCTTACATTTGTAGTATAGTAGTTTCATTTCAGTATCACTTTTCTGTTGCTGTTGTTTTCTATTCTTTGATATTAGCTTATTAGGAACCATTTTTTCTGTATGGATTTTATCACGTTTAATACCATATCGTCTTCCCCTTTTAAGTCATCTGGAAATGTGTTGCAATCAAGTCTGATGTATTCTTGTCCCATGTCTTATGCTAGATCTGACCATCAGTAGTTATCTAAAAAGAAGGCAAACTGGTATGGTCTCATAAGACTAGGTATTTAGTTGTATGCAACACATACACCGGCTTTTATTTTGTACAAGGCTATTTAGGACCTAAAGCAGGGCAAAGAGAATACATCCAACCCATTGCAATTCTGGGCCATGTCACCCGATCTCCAACCACTGATGCCTATCCGTCTTGGAAAAAGAAATGCATTTCAATTATCCCCTCTATGCATCTCGAAATAGTCAGGTTGTATTTCGTTAACATCGAACCGTTATATCCTGTACTCATTTCAAGCAAACAATTCAATTTCATGGTAGTTCGATTCCCCAAATGAGACGAGAGCGTCACTACTTCAACGTAATCCGAAACTGAATTAATAGAACCCACAAATGGCTAAATTTCAAGTTCATTTTGTTTATCCTTGAAATAGCTAAAAAAATTTCAACATGTTTGCAAATCGTTGGACGGTCGACCATTTTCTTCCCGCACAATCAACGTACTGTATTCTCATAATGAGAAAAGTGACCACTGAAAGACATGTATCAATGCAGCTTTTTAAACAAAACAGCTATCTAATAATCCTTGAAACACGGGTTTCTAGTGCCCGATTACAGATATTGGGAGTACCACTCGTATGTGCCATAAACACTAATGTAAAATTAGCTGAGGAAGATCTGACAGAAATATCGAGATTGTAAATCTTCATTTATTGAGGTGACTGGAATATAAGTTCCATACTCTTCTGTACTCCTTATCTGATCTTATATTGCTGGTTGTCATGATAGTAGATCCGAAGAAGTCTGAGGAGGGTTGGCGGAAACCTGATATCAATCTATGCGTTCATTGGTTGCTGTAAGCCATATCATTATGAAAATACTACCAGATAAAAGCAATTGTTATTTTGACTATCTCAACTCGTCAAGTGTTAAAACACCATCATACTTATCACAGGCCAGCAATCGTGTTTCTTGATATCAGGGCTACTTCGATTCGTTGGACAGGAATGTTCTCTGGGATTGTCTATCGAAATAGGCTGTGTCTGAGAAGTTTATTAACATCCTAAAAGCCCTATATCCAGACACTTTAGACAAAGTGAGGGCATACAACCACCTTACTCCATTGTTTCATTCAAGCAGTGGGGTTAGACAGGGTTGCCCAATCTCGCCATTCCTCTCCAACTTTGCCATCCATGACATTCTGAAAACAGCTCTGATGGATTTAAGTAATGGCGGTGTGGATCTGTTGCCTGGAGAAAATTTCTCGATCTTGAGTATGCGGATGATATTGTCTTACTGTGCGATAATGCCCAAGCCATGCAATCCGCACTTAATCAGTTGGCAATCAGTGTCCGTAGGTACGGTATGAGCTTTGCACCTTCGAAGTGCAAAGTACTTCTACAAGACTGGAAGGACCCTGATTCGGATCTACAACGCGTCAGTGAGAGCAGTTTTGTTCTATGCTTGTGAAACCTGGACTCTCCGAGTTGAGGACGTTGAACGACTTTCTGTGTTCGATCATCGTTGTCTCCGGATTGCTGACATCCAGTGGCAACACTAGGTTAGTAATGCAGCGGTTCGGCATCGTGTGTTCGGGTGCAGAGGCGATAATGCAATTAATGTCACCATCTTGAAACACGGACTTCGGTGACTTGGACATGTTCTCCGAATGTCGTCCCAGAGAATTCCACGTCGTGCATTATTTGCCGACTCTGGGACTGGCTGTAAAAAGCAGAGAGGTGGTCAGTATATGACATGGTGTCGTGGTATGAAAGAAAGCTGCAAAGGGTTGGCTTGTGTTGGTCCTTCACGACTCCCTGGCTGGGGTCCGAGAGATGGTGCAACACAGTGGCTAGAGACGTTATCAGATATGGCTCAGAATAGAAGCCAGTAGCGATCGTACTGTAACTATTTCACTTAATAAAAATTGGACGCAACTGTAACTGGAAGAATTTCTGGTCGTACCTTCGCTAACCGAACTGCCTCTCCCTTTATCATTATTATTATTATTTCACTGTCATATGCTAATTTCTGTTCGTTATTGTCCCCCTTTTTCTCGTACACACCTTACACTGTCTCTTCACATGCTCATTATTGTGTGGCGCATATGTCCACCTTTGTACCAATGTTTATGTGTTCAAATAAAATAATAAAATAGATATATAAGAACACGTGTAATACTCATGATCAATTTCCCTCCTGTCATTTCCTCTAAATGTTAAAACTGACTAGCTTCTACGAAGTTGGACAGTCAGTCAGTCAGTAACAACGTAGAACTTCGTACGTAGGTACATCTGTTCGAGTTGCCATACCACATTAGCACAGAGATGCAGTTGGTGATTTAAATTCCATTGTGGTAGAGTTAGTAAAAGTATAAACAGTCATCGGAAAGATTAGGGTTTGAAAATGTTATCTAAGAAGTATAATCCAGTGAATGGATTCATCTGCGCCATAGCAAACGATTTTGAGCCATATCACTCGAAGTCGGAAGTTTATATGTAAAGCATATTCAAATAAACAGAATTAGGTTTCTGACTGTAATAGTTTCATTTCATCTCATTTGATTGTGTAAGTGTATTTTTGAGTTCTGCGCAATACAGTGTACTACATTACCAAACTTAGTAGGCCATTAACAAAGCAACTGAAATACATCAAATTTCTCATTTCTAGCTCGAAAAATCTTAGATTATTGGCTGCATTCTTCAATAAGTGTTTGCTTGTCGAAACCATGTAACCGACATTAAAACATTACGAGGACTATCAAATTGTGTATGGTATAATTACCCTCAAGACCGACTAAAGAGTATGCACAGGCAAATTTGTCTTAAAATTTGAATCCCGATAACTGCTTTCATTCTGGTTGCTACACATGAACTAAAATGCCAAGTTACTAGTGCATTTAATCCCAAAAACTGAACTTTTCGAAATAAATATAGGGCAAATAGCAATATTAAAGCATAAAATCCCAATAAATGTAAACAAAGGGTTCTATTTTGTAATCGCTTTACAGAACAAGATTGTTATTTCTGCATATTTCTTTTATATATTACGACCACTGAATTAAGTACTTCTATGAATTCGGTGTTCACCTTGTGTCAATAAGGTATGGCAACTTGAACCGAGGCACATATGTGCCTGGTCCTACGTTGTAGCTGACTGACTGACATTTCAAGTCTGTTAGTGCATTGGTAAAAGATGAGTTACTGAAAACACATAGTGTTATTTTTGAGAGTGTGATGAAATCGTCGTATGTTCACCAATATCAACGTGATACAACGTCCAAAGCAATGAAAACATCATCATTAGAATTACATTATTATTGTAAATGCTGGTCTTAATAGTTCTACAAAACAAACTGGATTGATGTTAGTATCTCATTTTTGGTTCATGAAATTTACATGGTAAATGGGTTTTAGCACAAGCAGTTTATTACGTATATACTTATCATTTTATTAGTGGACATACGTCATCCCTATAACTGCTTGGAAAGCATGTTACTAGCGTAATTAGTCTCACCAATTTTTTTAGAATCGTTTAAACTGTTTATTTTCAAATTTATTTCCCGATGGCTTATGACTAACATCCTCGGATAATCATAGCATCGGTTTCCCGTAATATTTTTCCTTACACCAGCCCATTCAACGTAAATAATCTTGTTTTAGTCCTCCAGTTAATCCTCCCAAAGAAATTGATGATCCTGACGATAAAAAACCAAGTGATTGGGATGAGAGAGAAAAGATTGTCGATACAAATGCCAAAAAGCCGGATGACTGGGATGAAGATGCTCCCGCAACTATCGAAGATGAAAGTGCCGTGAAACCATCCGGGTGGCTTGATGATGAACCAGAGATGATTCCAGATCCTGCTGCAGTACCTCCAAAAGACTGGTGAGTTTTTTCCATTCTTATCACAGTCCACGGCTAGATGAACAAATTATTTTCTTAACGCATAAACAAAGTGACATCTAAAGGGAGCACAACTAGTAGTTCCCAGTTTCTTGATTTAAAGGTTTTATAAATCATTAGTGTAGATGGTTACAACCCTACCGATTGTGCTATACATTATATTGCAACTATATGTTCAATGTAATAAATGTCACTAGTAGTGAGCCAATATTCACTAACGAAATTGATCCTAAGAGTATTTATGCTATTGTGTGTATAACGAAACCATGTTCACGTTTGTAGTATAGTCCGAAAATTCAAAGCGCTTTGTTTAGTCAATTTAACCGGTTGAAATTACTCTTCCTTAAGTTGATGGAGTATATATTGATGCATTACGTATGAGATCCTAAGATCCTAGTAGTTTGATTAATTATGTGTTCCTCCTTATCGAATAAACTAGAAACTTTGAAAAACTCCTGCTGAATTCATCACACTTGTCTGACTCAGTTGATATTCCCTTCATCTATTTCTTATCCTGTAAATTTACTCTGTACAAGTATAAGCTGTTGTAACATGAACTGATAAACATTCGTGCTAAGTTTTACGTTGTCGATAACACTACTTTTGGATAACTAGACAGCCCTCCATTTTTTGTGTTAATATTGGTTTTATTCCCGAGTCACATTGATCTCTTGACGTCCAGTAAACAGTGTCAGTGTTGACAGAAAAGTAACTAACCCTTAGTATAGTACTAGTTTGGTTACTGAAAATCACTCTATTAGTCTCCACTTCATTGATCACACTAACCTATGGGCTTTCTATCACTCATAAAGCACGTTTAAGACTTGTTTCTGTTCCAGGTATTTGGAGATATAGTTGTTTCAGATAATTTTAATTAATGAAAAAGTACAGATCTTTACTGAATTTATCGACTCTTGTTCTTTCGACATAGCATCTGCTTTTCTTTGTTTTAGTTGGAAGTATAATAAGTGAAATGAGTTCAGTACTTTCCTAGATGATGCTTTTTCTAATCTCTTTTTACTGTGTAACTGTTAAGACTAAAACTAAAGCCCACTGTCGATCATTCGTGATATATATATATATATATATATACTTATCGTACTTAATTTATTAAATCTGTTAGTGTGGATGCAAGTAAATTAACCATTTCAGTTGCTTGAAGTTGTATATTTAATTTTTTAGGGATCGTGAAATGGACGGTGAGTGGGTTGCACCACAAATAAATAATCCTAAATGCGCCAGTGCACCTGGGTGCGGTAAATGGCAACGACCAATTATACCAAATCCAAAATACAAGGGCAAATGGTCTGCTCCAATGATTCCTAATCCAAATTATAAGGGTATTTGGACACCAAGGAAAATTCCAAACCCTCACTATTTTGAAGAAAAGAATCCATTCAAGAGCTTAGCTGAAGTGGTAGGTGATGCACTTAATTTAAGTTGTACTATATGATGATTGTTGAATATATTTTTTTTATGTCATTCGACGTTGTGAAACCTGTTCTTGTTTTAATGATTTGATTTTGCAACAATATTATGGGTCATTCGTTGTATCATTTTTACATCGACCTTATCATTATTACCATGTAAACTCATTTGATATCTAGTGTCGATGAGAACAATGGTTTGTAAACTAATAGATGATTGTATCGATTTAGAATTGTTTCTACACAATCTGGCGAACGAATAGGTTGATTTTGCTTATTCTTTTTTAATTGTACTTCTCAGGTTTGGACTTCTATAGCATTATATATTGTTTCCGATCTTGTGTTTCTCATGTTGTCAGTTTTCTCTTAGTGTGCTAATTTAAAGTGTCACAACTTGGTTCGGTACACATTCATGCTATCTCCTACCTTGATAATGACTAGATGAACCCTGAAAACTTCATAACAAAGTCTTATATAAGGTTTCTATACTTCCTACGAACTCTGCAACTCATCTCGTAAAGTATTTTTCTAGTTTGATGTGATAGTACCAGCGTACCATCGAAATATACTAAAATCATTTTCTTCAAATTCCGCTGCTTACCGTAAAAACGATTTCACCTGATTTGACAATGTTATCCATGGTTGGTTTCTAGTTTCCTTTTTATTTTCGTGAGATTTATAACTGCAAATACAAAATCAAATACTCACGAGTGCATAACATCCACTCTTACAACTTCATAATTCTTTTCTCAATGTTAGCTGTCCATATAGTTTGGTTATCAATTGTCACATTAATCAATACATTATTGGTTCGAAAACTGTAAAGATGGTTTTGCTTTTGTATAAACCTGTAAATTACCTGTTCATTAGGCGATGTGGAATCTATTTTTCTCATTCTTGATGTGTTAACCTTTCTGTAGCAGTAAAAGTGTTGAAAACCTGGTATCTACATAACGTCCATATTTATTATCGAAGTTTTATGTAATAAATATTTTTTTTGCTTAGTTTTACAGTCAGTTTGATATGTCTCTATGAATGATACCATTGTTCTCATCGTTACATTTTATGGTGTTGTTTGTGATTCTGGTGACTATATTGTTCCATATTATCGAGTAGTATATTGCTGGATGTCTTTTTGAAATTGCAATCTAGCAACATACAGCTTTTACTGGAGTCGGTCATGTGAAATCAATAACTTGTATCTCTCTCATCCCACTTTTCCAGACCTTGTTGGCAATTCGATTCTCACAGTTTTCCTGTGACCACTTTCTTGTTTTCATTTTTTTAGCAACGCTATAACTTGTAAAGTATTGTTGCTAAGTTGTTTGTTGTATGTACGTTCATATTTGACTATTTTGCATGTTAAATTAACAAATAGTCTACGTTTATTGTGGTCCAAAATTTATTTATATTCATAATTCAATTACCTTAACTTTATTCCTAGAACGCAATAGGTCTAGAATTATGGTCCATGACTGACGGGATTACTTTTGACAACTTCCTGATTGTTGATTCAAAGCGCGCGGCTGATGAATTTGCTCAAGAAACATGGACAATTAAAAAGGAAGCTGAAAGATTAGCCGATCCGAAAGCAGTAAGTCCTTTTGGCTTTGAATATTGGAGTTTCGTTTCCTTTTGTGATATACGTAGCTAGATTTTAGGTAATCTAATCGAATATTTCATAGTATTATTAAGATAAGGTAATACAACTCAGTTATTAAGTATCAGATCTTTTGCTCTTGTCTTTGAACTACACTTAAGTTATATTTATGCTCTTTAACAATTTGAAGCTGCTTATTTGTTTTCCGTTTTCTGGTTATACCCTTGCGTCACAAGTGTACTATCCCAGCCTGTTTATCAACTCAATATATGATAGTGTTCATTAGCCATCTTGATTTTCTGATTGTACTGCTGTGTTGCATTATTAGTAATAATTCAAATGTCTTTTGTCAGTTTGTAGAGATTTTATGCCATTGCTTGGGTTCTTTTTGTTTTTATCAATCGACCATTTGTTTTTTATTTACAGCAAAGTGTTGTGGATGCTATACGAGAAACCTATAATGAGAAACCTTGGCTTATCTTTGTAGTTGGCCTTGTTTGTACATTACCCATTCTTTTATGCTGTATCTACATGTGCCGGTCACCATCCAAACAACATGATATTGGTATGCGCAAGAAGACGGATACATCCACGCCAGACGACTCTCATGTACATGTTAGTGAAAGAAATGCAGAAACTGAAGAATTAGAAGAATCTGGCGAAGAAGATATTGTCCAAGTTTCTAAAGGCTCCGGTGATGAATCAACCGCAAATAAAACAGGGAGCAGCAGAGATAACTCCGGAGAGGAAACTCCTGATGAATCTGGAGAACCCGAGGTATGACATATTTAGTTAGTCCTGGTTCTTAAATGGCCCCAGTATAGTGGTTACTTTAAAATTGGTTAGTTTATGTGGATTGGTTAATAGTCATTCAAGTCACTTTCATGTCTATTTTATTAAATTTATATTATCCATTTCAGAAAGCGGCTGCAAAACAGTCTATCAGAAAACGACGTTCACGAAAGGAATAAATTTACTCCCTTGGATTTCATTCCTGAAACACGTGTTCGTATAGCTTATATAATCCTAAACCTTACAAGCATGTTTTCTTTGGATTGGTGAGATATAATCGTAATTATCATCTCTCCCGTTATGTTATTTGTTACTGTAGTTTTGTGTCTCTTATGGAGACGGTTTATGTCTGTTTATCTACTTACTGTATCATTCACTCTTCGATATATGTAGATGTTGAATTGGCATTACATTTTGTTTCCATTTTATAGTTTTGAAAATCTTGTTTCTTATTGTCATTTCGTTTCAACCCAGTGTTTTTTGCTTACGAATATGTTTTACTTCATTTTCATTTGAAGTCGACGTTTGTGTTTTACGAATCAATAATTTTCATTTTGTGAATAAAATCATTCTCTGCATATTCTGTATTTTGATATGCCCAAGTAGGAAAAAAAAGCTACCAACCCTTCAGATATATTAATGGTCATTAGTCTGTCTATGTGATTTAACAAACTCATTTCCAATTTTTATTAAAAGTACACCATTCGGTGTATTGAGATGCTCTAGTTCACGTATTCTAAGTAAAATGATCAAAAATCACACAAGCATCTTGACTCTAATATTTAATTGGATTTCAGTATTCTCAATCTTAACCTAAGTGTTCAGAACACAAACTATTTTGTTGTAAAGTGTCGCGAATAGTATGAAGTGATTTTTTACTGGTATTTTTAGTGATGAATATTCTGTTTTGTCTCATTATTCCTAAGACGAATAAAGAAAATAACATCTAGTTACGCTAGCATTTTTGATCCACTAACTACACCGTGTAAGAGCCCAAAATCACTCACTATGATTTACCTTTTACCCCTTTAAACATAGATTTCGTGGACCATGCTGTTAAAACAATTCCATTTAGTAGTGGTCACAAGGTCGATTCTGTGGTTTAACGATGTGTATTGTGATTCAGAGTAGACTTTGTCAACTACTTATTCCTGTTTATTGGTTTTATCAAAATTCGTCTTATATATACATTTGAGACAGTCTACTCGCTATGTTTTTGTTAGGTAGTTAAAAAGGATGTTAATCGAGAGGTAACAAATCGTTTGAATAGCGAGATCAAAATGCAATAAAAGTAACTAGCATGATCTTATTAGCTACTTTGGGCTCAACTAAAACTGTCAAAGGGAGTCGAATCGATTTCGAAGCCTGATGCCTTTGAAAACCCGCTTTAGATGCTATTGGTACCATCTCATTTCCTCTCAATCACATATCTTACCTTCCCTAGAATGATGTTTTCAGTAGTTTCTCTGTAACACCTGCCGACTAATCATTCGTTTCATAAATTTATTAGCCTCACCTGTTCAAAGAACTTGGTATTTTATTTGCTCCTGATCACGGTAATTTCACAACAGATATCTCAACCTTTAGTTTTGTTTGGTGTAATTCCCTAGTAATTTTCTCACGAATCTTAATCGAATAATCACAACTGTTTTAGTGTCACCAGATCGGTTAAATTCTTGCGAGTTTGGGTAAACGACCCAATTTTGTCACGCGAAACAGTGTCGACAGTATTTTTTCTATAATAATGTATTTGACTGCATGTACTAAGGCCACTGCTTCGGGTTTAAATTAACTATATTGTCATAAATTGATCCTATTCAGGTGTTCATACCTACACCGTTTGTTATTGTTCTCATCCACGGGATTTGTATACACAGCACATTTTGGGAAATCAATTCTTATCTAATACCTAGTTGGTCTATTTGTTCTGAGCACTCAAATTACCCTTCACTTCGAGTTTGGTTGAGTCCATCTCAATTGGGTACCAGTATATTTGATGAATTACTAAACTGAGTGATTGTCTAATGAATTGATCATTGATTTTAACGATCAGGGCTTAAATAAGTTAACCAGTTTACGAAAAGCTTACTTTATTCCGTTACTTTAAAACCTGAAGGTAATTCATTGTATAAAATATGCGTCCTGAAATCAACAGACTGACACTCACTAAGTCGCTCACCATAGAGTGGAAGGTTGAGTGAGTCATCTTTTCAACCGGGTAAATGTAAAGAAGCACCGACGAGTTTTCAGAAACTATATATTGCATTCTTAGTGTAAATTGTAAAGAAGTATTTCATGTCCTTGATCATTTGTGGTGCACATCACCTGACTTGAGTCTTCAGCGAAATAATTGAGAATCAACAACTGAGTCGTTTTTGTTTACGCGACGACGCATCACCAGTACTTTACTTGTCAGCAAATATATTATCTTTCACCCTTATGCTTAACATAAATGGCTGGTAATTTTGCGTCCAATCAACTTAGTGATAAATCTTGATTATATCAGAAGTAATTGATTTTTGAATAATCATAATACTATATTATAGGTTGATTGCAATATCGATCCAAAATGAAAGTTAAGAAAAGTGGTACACTGAATGAACATATATGTTTTTTATCTAATAATATCCAGGAAACACATCAGTAATCATTCTAAACAGATTCTGATCATCTGTGATTTAAAACTTAGGACATAAACGAAACTCTAATATATTAAACTAAATGGATGGAGTAACTAGGTTAAGAATTGACTTCTCTCCTAGAACTGCGAAATTTAAGAATATGTAAGTTATTGCGACAGTTTTCGACAACTTATAAAAAAAATTAGTGACTTGTGGGTCTCATAAAAAGATAGATCAACTGTTAGTAATGATCCTGAAATAAGGTATAACTAGAATCCTATGTAGTTGTCACTTTCCTTGGTGTTTCATAAATCCCAAGTCATTGAGAAGTGTGTTGCAACTTTTGAATAAAATTAAGAACATTACATGGACTTAGTTGCTTCGTGTCTGTTACGTCCAAATGGGCTTTCTGTCTAAATAAGTCAGCAGATAGGATTGGTGTACTTATTCGTGTTGTTTGGGTGATACTTCCGATTCTAGATTCTCTGGGTACTTGCAAACCACTGCCTTGTCGATCCCAACAGAAGGGTGAACATTCTTTTTCGTATCGGAATGCTGTTTCTTTTCTTTCGGGTGCTGAATGGAGAATGGTATTTTGACTTTTTTTAAAGTCTGACTGTATCCTACATGGAAACATACATTTCATATTTTGAGAATCGGATAATACAGCAGGCACGTCATTTATTATTCTCGGTAGATTCTTTCGGTTACAAGTGTGACTTTGAATGCCATTATTAATATTTATTCCAGAATTTTCAATTAGGTCGTCCGAGGAGTGGTTTGATGATTTACTAGATTGGTCTGTTAACTCATCTTTGAAGTCATTCCTCGATGAAAACACATTCTTCATTGCTATGTTTAGTGCCAATATATGCTTGTGTAACTCAATACTGTCATTCAAATAAATAATGCAAAAAAGGTCATTAAAATACTCATTTTTCATCATTATAAATAAACTAAGTCTAATGAAGTCCAACCTTAAATTTCACTCAAAATGATTGTCTTATTGCTATTACCTAATTATGCGGATAAACTATTGACTTAAAATTCAACTCACTATTTCTTTTCTCATAGAAATCAATGTTCTCTTGACATTTCTCATGTCAGAACAACAACTTTTGGTGGCATTAACTCAGTGTAGCAGTACGGTGCCTTGATACTTTGCGTGAAACCAAATATACTGAGAATAGTTAACATTGTGCCTAATTTTTTTCATGATTAAGAAATTAACAGTAGTTAATTTCTCCTACTAACCAAATTTAAATATGTAAGAAATGTAATAAAGTGAATAACGTGACAAAAAATATGGGTTTCACAGTTATCCGTAAATTCGTACATAACAAAAATGTGGAGACCCAATTTTCGAAGTTGGTAAGTAGTTGCTTTCCACGTCTTCAAAGTTCTGACCAACATTCTTGTTTATCCCTGTGAAATAAAGGTTACTTAGAAATACGAATGGTGTTTACTGAATAACTTTTACTTTTCATTCAAAGTTAGTCAAAATAAGTTCTGCTCATGTGGGCAAGCGCCTCCATAATCCTATACCTTTGTGTGGCATGTTACCGTTTTGGTACACACGTCTCGGTTAATTGCAGCTTGTAGATTGTACCCAATTATCTGCACACCATCAGAATATTTTTCTTTCCTTTATTTATCAGCTGTGAATTTTTTTGTTCATATCACAGTATAATGAAACGAATAGATTTTGCACCATTTCACAAAAAGTTTAAAGTTTGCTATGCCTTAGGAATATCAATAAATCTGAGTGAAACCATAAATTCCTCACCTGTTACTAATTTGTGAATGAGCAGATTGTACTGCACTCAGAGTTCCTGTGATTACCACTCGGCGGATATTAATACCTTCTTCACCACTAGAAATTTTGATTCTGGCCTGCGAAGCCTACAGAATATAATTAGCAAAAGGGATGGATTTTGAATTTAGAGGTGTAGTGGGATCATGAAAACGTTGATACCAGAATCGTTTACAACTGGCTCCTTAGTTTTTACATTAATCTATTTTAGGTTTTAAAAATAAATGTTCTGGCTGTTTTAGTTTGACTTAACAGAGTGTAAGCTACTGTTTTAAAAGTTGCTCTATACGTCTCATCTAAATGTCCAGCTGATGCATATCAGAATGGCTTATCATTCGATTGCATGCTATCAAGTGTCTATATTTTTTCTGTTAATTAATATAACCTTGTTTATCAAAGTCCCGTGGATTATATACACATAATCCGAGTATGCTGTTTTTAGTAGCCTGGTATCAGTAAATTTAGACTCTATATTAACAATACCGTTGGGGTATCATGAATTTAGCTTTTTGGATAAAATAATATTTATCTTATAAATAAACGGATTCTTTCGTTTCTGTCTCCATAAAACGATTACTATCTTTCATTACTGTGCTCACTACATTAAAAACCCATTTGCAATACAGATCAGCATACCTATAATAAAACAATACTACTAAATAGTACGCAGCACATGGTAATTATGAGTGTGGAGTTGCGCTCACTAGTGAGTAGCTTCGTGAGGTTATTCTCGGAGTTCTAGTGAGAAACCGTGACCAGTGGAGCTAACACGTATCAGGTGGAGATAGATATCTACCTCAGACAACGGAAGATGGTCGCACATTTTCGTGGATTTGTTGAAGTTAGACATTAACACCGTTGGATGCCAGCCCTGTGATCTAGTGGTTAAGAGTTTGAGAGCGTGATTGAAGGTCATGATTTTGAATCCCGCATGACGGATTGTGGATGCGCACTTTTCGGGAGTCCCATACTAGGACTAAACGGTCGTCCAGTGATATCAAGTAAAAACTTAAAAACTTCCACAACCCCTCACTGATAATTGTTAAACAGACTGTATAACTACTTTGGAGTACATACTCACTCTGAATACGACCAATAAAATATTTTAGAGCATAGTTGGGCAGTGGTGAGCAATGAATTCCACGACGCGTGTTTCTTCCTATTTGACTTAACATTATCAAGACAATTGTCTCAGGATACACATATGCCGAAAGTGACCGATAACTTTCAGTCCTTAAGATCAAAAACGGAAGATTCAAAATCTTACAACTAAAAACAATGGAATACTTTATTTTCTACAGTTGATGAGTCTGCTCTGTAATGTGCATTCTCCATTTAACTTTTTATCATTTTATAGTACCTGTTGTATGATTACTAAATCCGTTCAATAATTCTGTTCGTCTATATGTATTCAGCCTTGGGTTAACATACTGTTATAATCGCTTTCTTACGGTTATGACCCAGCTATTCCTATTGCCTAGTATTCTCGGACACCGATTCACTCGACAAGTCCCCAAATCAGAACACGGTTGAACAAGAAGGAGATTATATTCCAAATAACAAGGTTAGATGGAAGTAAGAAGCAAGTCAGAAGCATAATAGGGAAAACGTCAGTATATTTATAGTTTTTACATGAGAAGATTCTAGAGTATTCTACAACTATCAACTAGTGCTGATTAGATAAGAATTAGCCAATCAGCGAACAGCAAAACAATTGTGCATTGAGCATGCTTCAGTCCAGTCTATGTTCCGTTAACACATACAAAGCTTATTTATCTTACAGGTGTCTAAGACGATAACTTGATAAAAAAGTGCAACTCCGTGAAACCTACTGTATAAGTTATGAATCTATAAAAATGACACAGCTGCACATGATGATACTCCGGTATTTATGTTGTTCATGAATATGTACCAATGATCTTGACATGGTTCACGAAAAACGTCATTTGTGTGCATAAGTAGGCTAAGAACCAGATTTTAAATGTTAAACTTAATGTTTGAGCTCTGATGAAATTTACTTCCATTTAAATAACCCTGTAGTATTTGTAGCCATGACTCAGCAAATGCTAAATAAACGCTTAGTTTTGATTGATATAATGAATGGATAAATATTAGATCACCATTGAAAGCCTTGAAGCATTGGACGACCGTTTGGTCCTAGTATGGGCTCCTGAGCACTGCGCATTCACGATCCCTCATGCAGGACCCGGAACCCGGACCTTCGGTTTCGCGCCGCCGTCTAGTGATTCAAGGTTTTCAATGGTGGTCTAACATTCTTCCATTAATGATATCAATCTAAACTCACCAATCTTCACAACCCTATGCTAATAAACACTTAGTTGTTGAATTTCATTATTATACTCTAACATACGTTCTCTTTAAAGAATCTTCAGGAATGCTCTTAGTGAATAAAAAATATGTTCATTATCGAAAGTTTTGTGTTGGATGTTTTTGAACTTGACTAGGAATAATTGTAGACAAAATTGAATAGTGATATTATTTCTTTTTATTTAACTACATATAATATTGCATACTGGCCACAAATTTAAAATTACTTCTATGCTATTTACCAGTATTATTTGTTATTTCAGTGCCGTAACAAATAGTTTAGCGAAATTAGATAATAATTAGACACCAAACTAAATATTTACAAATAATAATTAATTAGGCTTAAATAAATTCAAGTCATCTTATTGATGTCTGTGTATATTGATTTTAGCACAAAACTTCGGGGAAAAAATAATTTAGCGAAACAGCCCATTCGACCCACATGTGGTTACCTTCATCAATTTAACACAGAAGAATAACCAAACTATTCATGAAGGTAGTGTTTTTATACTGTCCTAAGTAAATTAATTGTAGAATATTTTCTAATCGAATAAACATACGTAAAAGGGTATTTGAAAATAAAAACCTTCCCTAGACAGTTTTTTTCCTTTTCAAGACTTATTGATGGCAAGTATGTGAGACCTTAGAATATTTCATACTACCTCAGATATTCAGACAATTAAAGATAAAGACACAAGTTGAATTTCTCAAACCATTGGATCATATCTCATATTATGAGGGAATAGATTTTGTATATGATTAACAATCAACGTTTACTGATGTAATTTATTAATTTTGATCGCCTTCTACATTACCAAGTAAAGTGACACTAAGATAAGCGTTAGCTGATCAAAAAGGAAGGAGGAATTATTTTTAACTCGACCAGCTTAGATGTAAACTAGTTTGAGCTCAACGATGTGAGATATACAGAACATACTTGATATTGTACATCTACTTATCGTTTCTGGAAATGATAAACTAAGTAACTGAGTGATCGAGAAAAAAATCGAAGGTTTTATTTAACTTTTGTAAAATATGTGTGAAATAACTAGTCTGTTGCCTTATAGTATTAAATTTCTCAGAAGTACCTACCAAACAAGGTGTGCAAAGGTCAAGCTCAATGTTTCATTTCGACCACGTAATCATTTTCTCTAGGGGGAAACGTAGATAATTTAAACCATCTAGCTAGCTTTTAATTTCTGATATTCAGTTCTGTTTGGTTTAAACAGATTATTCAAGTTCTAAGCATTCATTTCGCACACATATGTACGAAATTACGTTTGTTTTCTTAGCAACCTAACTTGGCATATCACACAATATGTGGATGGAGTTGATTTCAACTGTTAATCACTACCTTATTAGTATTCTTACTTATTCATTTTACGTGGATTTATCATCCTTAACTACTAGGTTTTCGAGTTAGGAATATGCCAGTGGAATTCTGTTTATTTTGCATTCAACCTGATAAGAGTATTACCTACTAGTGATTAAAAAAATTAGATTTCTTAACAAGTAATACGTTCTATTTACGATGACTATTTAAAGTAATAATTAGAAAGTCACTATACAATGGATTTTTGAATAAATAAAGTGATCTGTGAGATCGATGCCTACAGTAATTTTTTAAAAATTTAGTACAGTCGCTTGGACAGAGATTAAAATAAAAGATTTGAACTTCGGAGTACACTTGATTAGGGCATAAAAGGAAGTTACCAGCTAGTCAAAAAAGTTATTTGTTCCATATAAACGTTGAGGTTTATGTCTATTTAATAATAGGACTACTTACCTGCCGAATTTCGTTGATTTTATTACCTCCCCTTCCAATCACGCATCCTATAAGGTCGTTGGAAATTAAAATTTCACAACGGTATTGTGCTCCACCAGGCCCGTTGGCAATTGGTGCCTTTAAAATCGCTGAGTTTCGCAATAACTTAGGTGTGCGGAATAACGGAGTATGCATGCCACTTTGAAGGGTAAGAGAAGGAGGTTGTAATTTGCATGGCGATTGAACGGCAGACATCGGTCGTGGTACTGTAAGTATAAAAAGTGAAGAGTATGCAAACCAAAAATTGATAAGTAAACCAGTATCGGTATATAAATTATCAACTAATGAGAATAGGAATATTTTCAGTATTATAAATGGATCTTTTTAAGCTCAGCGAATCAATCATTCAACTTAAATACCTCCTATTCAAAATTTGAAGAGTCAGTTACAAAACCAACCGGCCCGGAGATTACATAGACAATGAATAATATTCAAAAACATACTAAGAGTTGTAGTTCCAGCACTCTTCTCTGAGATAAAACAAGTAGGTTAAGTAAGTAGTTAGTATAAACCAAATGAAAGCTTAGTAGACACTCATTTCTACGGACCAAGTTGTGTTGTGATAATTATTGCAGCAGATTATGTTTGATGTTATGTGGTTGAGGGAAAGCTAACGGAAACCCTTGATCCGATGACAGTTGGCACTCATCATCATAGAGGTTTATAGTAACTTATGATTTCGTGTTCCTTAGTATTATTTCCAGGCACGTTATTGCTGAGGTATTCGGTCAGTGATCGAACTCTTGTAAGACTAAGATGTCATGCGATTTAGTGTACAAGTTACAGCTTAATAATTCACTTCCTGAACACCATAGTAGTATTGTTTCTGACTGAAGCGGGTCCGCTCCTTACTGGAAGAACTGTTGGAGACAGGCCTTGTTCACGAATATCAGAAGACAAGATAAATAAATTTGGGGCTTCCTATAGATTGCCTCATTTATTTTAAAATCAAAGCAGTTAGTATGCTTGCAACCCGATAGTTCTATAAGTAGAAAGCGAATTAGTGTCATTGACAGTTAGAGATCCGGCAAGACCTGTCTTTTGTCCGAAATTCCTCGATTGACATGGCAAAACAAGATAATCATTTCTTTCCTGATGGAAAAAGAACTCTTAACCACTTGATATTTTATGATGTTTTCATTTCGTAACGAAAATTAATCATTAATAAACTGGTTCATAAACACATGTCGGTCTAGATATAAGTGAGATATTCATTGATTACATCGTACTGTTTTCACTATAAGGTGACACATCCCATCTGTATAATGGCTTATTTATTAAAAATCTTCACTTAGGAAAGCACCAATATACAGGACATCTTGCAGATATTAACTAATATTATCCGGTACTGATTGGAATTGAGTAAGTTATGTAAGCAAGCGGATACAAAATACCCAGCAAGTTACTGAATGCTGCACTGCTCTTGTATTCAGAAGTTAAAAGTGAATGACCAAAATCTAAGTACATATGAATCCCCGAGAAATTCATTCTCTTTTAATGCAAATCCGTTATTACAGACAGTGATGTAACCGTCAAATATTTCATACGATATGGGTGATCATAAAAATCAATAAAGTCCCTTTTATTTGAAGTTTTTTGGTCTATGTAACTCTATCAGAGGTTCAGCCAATTCCTTGACGCAATCCGTCGCAACTTCTGGTCACTGAAGATAAAGTGATTATAAGTTGGATATTTCTTGATGTTGACTGAACCTCATTGATCTTGTTTTCATATGTTTGAAAATTGAAAAGAAAAGAACATAATATTTTATTACTTCACATAACATAAATCACTCGAACAATTACTCATATAAGGAAAATGCATGAAATTTGTTTAGTACATGTCTAAATGATCACGAAATCTTAAAACACCGAGGAGGTTTACTTACTCTACCTACAGTTGAACTTCTTGTATAAAAGTTACTAACACTACCTAGGTACACAAAATAGAATAGGTTCGAATCCATTTCCTTATCGTTTAAAGTCAAATACTTTAATCACCAAGACATCATTCAATAGAATTATATATTTTCAAAATGATTGTCTAAATTAAGAACTTGTAATAATTTCACTAGTTTATCATGAATATTGTGTTATAGTGAAATGGATCATTTTTCATTCAGTCAAATTCAAGTGAAATTATTATTTATGTTTATTTTTAAGTAAACTTGGAATTCAAAACTAACAAAAATGAATCAACTAGCCATGAATGAAAAGAGTGGGGGGAGAGAGACTGAAAAAAAAAACAATAATCCATTTTTTAAATAAAAAAAAAACAACAACATGCACTTCAATTTCATCTAACCAAATTAATTTAAACACAATCATATAGATTTATTATAATCAATAATAAATAACCATTTAATTTTAAAAAATTCTTTCACTTACATTTTAAGATGCTATAAATAATTCCGAACTAATTTTAGAAACTGAAATGACTAAAACTAATTAAATACTCATAGTATCGAATTTAAAGAAATTTCAAGTGATTAGTGTTCAAAAGGTTTCATAAATAAAATGACCTATTGGCCTCTAAATTATAATTGCCTTGTTGATTATCCTATGGTTAGTTTTTTTTTTTGGTTTTTGGTTTTTGATAACATTCATCGATTAGTTCACTTGATATTGTTTTATTTGAATCTTCCCATTGATGTTTTAGGACTTATTGGTATATGTGCATACTGTGCGTATGCCTCGATATTGCCTTAATTTACAAGCATTATAAGTAAAGATGGATAGTGGCTAGTAGGGGAATCCAGGACAATATCAAGTGAATTAAACTTCACCCCATTGCATAAGCAAGTGACTATCAGGACTCAGTAGATAAGTGAATAACGCGATGGCGTTTGAAGCGAACGGTACTGAGTTCGAGTCCAAGAGTAAACATCAACTCTGAGATGCAGGCACATCCAGTTAACGAGTCCCAAACAAGACGAAACGCGCGTCCTGGATTCCACTGCTAGCCACTATCCATCTTTGCTTATAATTCATCAATTAGTTTCTAAATTTTATCAGTATATGCTTAGTTTGATGATTAGTTTCATGAAAGAAAAGGTTGTTATTTTTTTCTCAGTTTAGAAACTTCGTCTTAAAAGAAATTAACAAAAACATTTTTTTCTAAAAAAAAAGAAGAAAAAAACAGATTAAAGTGTAATTTTGATTCAAACAGTTGAGATCATGAGTTAATTGAAGCTAGACCACCATGGAAAATTTGGAAGCACTAGGACGACAATCTCCACAAAACCCTTCCGATACTAATTTTGATTGATGAAATAAAAATTGTTTTCGACTTAGATACTTTGTATGTTATTAGTGGAATAAATCTAAATATCCTATCACAACTTTAGTTTGCGAAAGACTTCAATGTATTGTTCTTGATATGGATTCATATTCTATTTGATTAATAAATCGAATGAAAGTACCTCGAATAAAATATCTTTTTTTAGTAGAACAAATAATAGCTGTTATATTTAAAATGAGTCATGAGTAGTATTGGGTTTTACCGAAGTAATGAAATTTTAACAGTCAAACAATGGTTTAAGAAACGGGTTTACAATTAAAATAATCTATAGTAGGATTAAATAACTTGATGTAATGAAACTCTCAGTTTTAAGTTGATTTTAATTCAAATTCCACAGAATCATATAGTTTTCTAAGTTGGTGGAATCATATTTCTTTATGATGAATAGTTATCAAACTTAAACTACTATTAAGCTAATTAAAATTAATCTCTCTTCTTTAACAAGTTTCTGTGTGACTCCAGGCAATGGAGCCAAAAAATAATTATTGGTAACATCTAAAAGGGAACTGATGGTAAGGTCGTGTGAATTTTTATGTAAAGGAAATATAATCTAGTTCGTAAAATGATTCAAGCGGAATGGAACCGAAAATTTCAGTGAGTACATATAAGTATTATCCTTCTGTATCACATTCATGAATTTGTTCATAACACATTCTTTCAAATGGCTGGCAGTGGAATCTTTCCTATCCTATTTGGGACTCGTTAGCTTGATGTACATGCATGAGTTAATGTTCACCCTGGGACTCGAACCCAGTACTGTTCGCTTCAAACGTTATCGCGTTATACACTTAGCTTCTGAGATAAATACACAAGAACCTTAATGAAACAAATCTATCTTTTTCATAATGCGAAAAAATTCATTTGATTTTTATAGATTCGCAGAAAATATAAATCAATCGTTAACATATGAACAATCACAACAATATGAATCTGTAATGACTTGACAAATATTAATACTGTTACTAGTATGGCGTTTATCAAGGATGCCGAACAAACTGCTATTTGCTACTTGTTCAACGGAACAAGACTGTTATAACTCGAAGGAAGGAAGGAAGGAAGTACAACTATAGATAAAGACTTATTTATGGACCAACCACACATTCTCAGTCGATCTAAATAACATCAAAATTTACAGGGAAGCATGTCATTTTGAAAATCTGGTCAATAATAATTAAATGTGAATGTCAGAAGGGGTTTGTGGAGATTTTTAGAAATTTTCACAGATTGAAATCATGAGTCAGTTGAAGCTAGACCACCATTGAAAACCTGGAAGCACTGGACGGCCGTTTCGTCCTAGTATGGGACTCCTCAGCAGTGCGCATCCACGATCCCGCACCACGCGGGGCTCGAACCCAGGACCTACTGGCTTCGCGCGCGAGCACTTAACCATTAGACCACTGAGCCGGCATCCAACGGTGGTCTAGACTCATGATTTCAATCTGTGAAAATATGAATGTATCAATAATTTATTTTATTTATATAATTTCTAAAATCAATAAGTTAGACTGCTCCAATTAACAATTATAACTAAACGACTGAGATATAGACTTACTCTTTCGTAACAAAACCCTACTGAATTGAGTGAATTCCAGGAAGTTTTAACGGAAAACTTTTAGATATGAGATTAAAAATTCACGAATGAGCCATAATGGATGCCAAGAATGTAAGATGACATTTATTTTATTTTACAAATTAAACGCAAACATAAAATATAGGATACCGAACTAGTAAGTTGGTGACAATTTAGTGTGAAGTTATTCATCTTGTTTACGATATTCAATAAAAGCACAATTACTGACATTTCCGAACGGTTTCTCATTCATTTAGTGGGTGAGTACAAAACTGAATAGTGTAATTTTCACTAAAGATTTCATCCTAAACATTTAAAATCATTC